GTTTGCTAACTTTTTTTGAATTGGCAACTTTCTCTCAATTGCACTGTTCTTGTTATTATTTTGTTGTAATTTTTTAGTTTAATTTTTTATAGCTTATTGATCGACTATGCATCTATTCACGATTGCCTTTTTAAAATGTCGGAAAATAAGTGAGGGTTGAAAAGACACTTTTTGCCCATGAGATGAACTATCTTTTGTCCCATTGCAACACTATTTAACAAACTAAGTTAAAACTGTACAGTACTTAATTTTCCTTTTGTGAATCGGCTATCCGTATTGTGCAGTCAGGCAAAAGATACAGTTCATCATTAGCCAAGAATAGTTTATCCTCACCTTAACTTACGCTTGTGTAAAAGAGATACTTTATTTTATAATTCAGGAAATTATAATTATAAAAAAAAACAAGTTGTCTTACAGTAACTATTTTTGTTAGATGCATGGTAATAATTTATTGCATGGTTGCATTTACAAATTAGCAGCTGCTTAATTAATTAATACTGATAATAAATCATTTCAATGTGTAATGGATTTTGCAAGAGTACAATACACGAAAGAAAGATTGATTTATTACGGAACATAAAACAACTGTTAAGTGTCCAGTAATCAAATTTCTATTTAATATGACAACTTTTTTTAACAATATTTAATTAACTTAGATAAAAATTTAATGATGGTACAGGTGTATTTAAATAGGATTTCATGAATTGTAATCTAACATTCAAGGAGGAAGTGCTCTAGTAATAAAGGTGAGTGTAATTTTAATTTTAAACTCGACCAAAAATAACTAATGTATTTTAATTTTAAATTAATTTTTTGTGCTTATTTTTGAGCCTATTTTAATTTATAAATGGATTCTGCAGACCTACAGGTATATCTTTCTAACAGTATGCGTAGATTATTCCTACGTGCACACAAGTTGAGAAAAAAGGTTTTAAAGAAACATACCTGCCTATTAATTATATAGATGCTGTAAAAATACATTTTTATACCACACAATTATTTATTCATTCGGAAATAATTTTGCAAAGTTTTAAATTTTCACAGTTTATTAATTGAGATGTGTACCATATACCTTTTTGAACCCATATCAAGACTTACTTTTAAAACTCTTTAACAAAATATAAGACACTCAAAATTAAATTAAATCAAAATAATAATTCTTTTTGTCTACTTTCAATTCTTTACTCTCAAAAAACATTTCACTGTTTTCAAGTCAAAAATAATCAATTACGCAAATTTTCAAGCTATTTTTGGTGATACAAATATTTTTGTTATTACATATAGTTTCGTTATTCACAGACCAAAGTTTATTATTTTTTTAATGTAATTTGTAGAGTATTCAGTTAGTGAAGACTATTTTTCCAGAGACAAAAAATGAAGAATTGTAAAACTTAAGTGGCAAATGCCACATTCAGTTTATGATAAATAGCATATTTTTAGAGCATTCTGATTCGAAAAGTAATAAAATATTCTTAAAAAAATTTAGGTTTTAAAACCAAGGTTCATTTATAGTTTTTAATTTATTTACCTATGTTATGTTACAGATGAATATGCTACTAATTGCTGTGGTTTTGAGTGTTGCGGCGGTAAGAGGCTCTTGTTGTTTAATTAAATAACAGTTTATGTTGGATTCTCAAAATGTTTATGATTACTAAATTAAATTGCATGATTGGTTCCACTATTATGGAGATGATAAAATAAGTGATCTAAAACTATTTTAATGATACCTAATGATATACATATAAATATACCTAATGTATATTTATTCATACTATGTAAACTACTGGAGATAACTAGGAGTGTTACAAAACTTATTTGATAATGTTTTTAACAATATAATTTTGTAAATTTTGACTGTGGCAAAAACAGCTGTTTTTAATAAGTTACATGCTATCTGTGTCTAAAGTAGTTATTTTTCTCCCTAGGAAGTATAAAGCTTATTTAGTCCCTAGGAATAAAAGTCAGCTGTTGTTAACTAAGTTTTAAACTTTGATTGTGAGTAATTGTGTGTATAAAAAAATGTGTCAGTTTTTAAAATCACTTGTAGCTTATTGTTGCATTCATGTCAATACAATGGTTTAGTAATAACGTCCACTACCACAATCACACAGAATGATGAAATATTGCAAAAATCACACATGCAAAAAGTGAAATTTTAACCGCCACTCAGTTTTCGCCCTAGGCTTCACCTCGGTCGTGGTCGTCAATCTTGAATTCGGGACGAAAAGAGTTACTTTATGCCCTAGTGATGAAATATAGTATTGAGTATTGTGACAACAGTAATAAACATTTTATTTTCCTTAAATAACAACTTGATATATTTTTATTGTAGAGGTAATCCTGAGAGATCAATAGGTTTCGTACCCATTACAAACACATTCAAGTTGACAACCAACAATTATTATTTTTATATCTAAATGCCACTTTAGACCCCTTAATCAGACCCTGAATTGTTTCTTGATGCGATTCCTCTGAAATATTTCAAAGCAAAACCTGGATGTTTCCAAGCTCATAGCCGAGGTATATTAGTTAGTGAATTTATATTATTGCATCAACAGCAAAGGTTCTTAGAAGTAAGTTGTTGATTTTTTGTCTTTGTTTTAGCTAACAAACTGCCAATCACCACATTCATTCTTCTTTGGTGTTATTTCACCTCAAGTCTCACCGCCAGCTGGAGTTCCTTCTGCATCCAAATGGAACCGTAAAAATATAAGGAAACCTATACCAAACCCACCACCTTTTGCGCCAAGGTTTGCTCCGCCACCGACTACACCCCCAATTGAGCCAAGAGATTTTGGGTTTTCTCCGCCAATACATCCACCATATTTTGTTCCACAAGATTATGCGCCAAGGTTTTCTCCGCCACCGACTCCACCCCCTATTGAGCCAAGAGATTTCGGGTTTTCTCCGCCACCAGAGCCAAGAGATTTTCCTCAACCTACAAGATCAAGAAGAGATTTAGACCTGTTACCAGAAAAACTTAGAACTTTACCAGAAAACAGTGCGGTGGTTCTTTTCAATCTTTCGCCTGAAAAAAGCATTGACAGTAGACACGGAGGAGCTGCAAGATCGTTTGACCCAGACTACAGCACTAGAGGGTTTGATACAGACCCAACAGGACTGTTTCGATCGTTTGACCCAGACTACAGCACAAGAGCGTTTGATACAGACCCAACAGGAATGTATCGATCGTTTGACCCAGACTTTGAGACTAGAGACTTTGATGAAGCTGAAAGGTCGTTTGACCCAGACTACAGCTACTAGAGAGTTTGATGTAGCTGGAAGATGTAGAAGATGCTGAAGATGAAGTGATACAAGTAGATTTATTGGTTGGACACAAGCAATATTATGGTAGAACTAAATATTGAAAGAATTATATCAATCCTGATCAAAGTTCAGTTGCTTTTCTTTATTGCCCATAAAACTCTCTTACCTTTGATAAATTTTTAGGACTTTTGTGAAGTCAGCAGACTTACCTGAATAGAAAAAAGTCCAATCTGGCACAAGAAACACCAACTTTACACAAAACTTTTGAATATTTAATGTTCTCTGACAGCATTTTCAAATAAGGAAGTTATAAGTTGGAGATAAAGTTGTCTTTAGACCTAAGGGTGGCCAGGAAGTTGTTGCATCTGTGTTAACAATATGTAAAAGTTTCTGTTTATCTTTTAAAGATTATAGGTAGCCTAGGTGTTTCACCATCTTCTGGGCTATCGTCGGACATTCCAGCTATATTTGCTCAGCGGATCCTGTTTCGTAAAGGCAGAATCTGCACTTGTCCGTCTGTCTAACCCCTATCTTGAGGTACTTCCTCACATAGCCCCGTAAGTAGCCCCTATCAAGAGGCTTATTTCCCCTTTTTGGAGGTCGAAGATGTTTCTCATTCCTTACGAAGTGGATTAATGAGCATCTTCGATTGTCTTAGGCCTGGGGTATTTTCCCTATCCTTTACTTGTTGTCTTGTTGCCCAGGCTAGGATTTTTGATCGGCCTTTGCTCACTGGGACTCCGCAGCATGGTTCAGGCCTGACAAGTTTGCACTTTGCTCCCTCACCTGCCAGAACGTCAGCCCTTATGTTGCCTTCGTGCCCAGCGTGACCTGGGATCTATGCAAGTTAGACTATGTTGTGTTCGCCCAAGGCCTTGAGGGCGTTCTTGCAGCTCTGCACAGCTTTAGATTTCCAAAAAGTTTATATTGAAGTTAACCATAGTAAAACCAAACTAGCCATAATGAAGAAAAGCAAGTCTTACACATTTTTTGCTTGGACGTGTGAGTCAATGAGTTTATTGGTAACAGTCCTGAAAATATTACAAAATAACCATAGTGCAAGCACCTGTGAATGACCTTTTAAGCTTTAGGATTCTTTAAATTACTTTCACAAAGACCACTGCAGTGATGTATTCGTTAAAAAATGATTATATTGACTATATTTTTAAATCACGCTAAGATTACTTTTATAAATTAATAAAACCCAAAGGAATTGAATAAGCACACTGTTCTTAATGCTTGAACATTTATTCAACATACTCTCACAGAACAGTTATATCACAATGGCCTCCACCATATTTGTACATTCATTGTCTAACAAAATATATTTATCACCCAAAATAAATAAGGCTTCAGTTGGTAACAAGTGATTAAAAGCTATAACTCAATTTTAAAATAAACTACGAAATACTGGTGTAAATAAACATATGTTTTATGAAAGTATTTAAGCATAACAGTAGATATATATTTATAAAACAATAACAAATCAATTATGTACTTTATTATGTTTATATACATACAATGTAATAATAGTCTAACAAAATCAAAATATAGTTATCACCCAAAATAAATAAAGCGTTAGTTGGTAACAAGTGATTGAAACTGGTAGGCTATAAATAAGGGTATGTTTTATGAATGTATTTAAACTTATCATTAGATATATTTATAAAACAATAACAAATAAATGTGTGCTTTATGTTGATATACATACAATATAATAAGAGTCTAACAAAATATAGTTATCACCCAAAATAAATAAGTTGGTAACAAGGGATTGAAACTGGTTTAAATATAAGGGTATGTTAAATAAATAACAAATCAATTATGTACCTTATGATTACATACATACTATATAATAATATAATGTTTACAAGGAAAACCTAAAAGCCAATCAAAACGTACTGAAGTAAGTTTAGCACTTTTAGTCATATTTGCAATATGAATACCTACTTTGTATGGTCACCATTTAAATGAAGAGTATAAAAAGTATTAAGATCTTACACAAAATTGATACAAATATTATTTTACTGGTCTCCATCTTTTTGATAGAGTTTTGTACATTAATTTGTTTGCTTGTTAGTAAAATATAAATTTTTTCATATAAATGTTCAATTGACATTTACATGATGTTATGTAGACTATGGTTGAAATGCGATTAATCTCTTAAAAAATAAAACATTGTGCCAAATTTCAAAATAATGACAGAATCCAAATCAAGTAACACAAGATTTTTTTTTTCTTGATATAACCATTAACTTTTGGACAATGAGGTAGACATCATCTATATGGAGAAACTATAGTCATTTTGTTCTTAAAAGTGGAAAATAGTTAAATAAGCCACTCTCAGAATGTGCCAAAGTCAAAATACAATTTTTCTCTAATCTTTTATACAAGCCTACTGTAGTTGTGTCATCACAGAAGCTTGGCGTATAGTTTACGATAAGTTTTCCCTCCAAGTTGACTTGTTTAAAAAGTGTCTGTATATTTTTTACTCAATTTGTCTGCGTTCAATTCCATTCTGTCCACAACTATAACTTGGTTATGGAATGTTCAGTTCCAACCGTAAAATCCCAAAGAATATTAAAGCCTGTGAACATTTTTGTCTTGGTACGACAGACTGTCGGCGTGATACAAGATTATCTTGATGGTTACGATGACTAGATAGATGGACAAGTAGACGGGTATCCGAGAATTCCAGTGTCAGAAGCGAGGGAGGGGGGGAGCCGAGGGTGCGGACGCCCCGCTCATGTCCCTCCCACTGTACAGGGTCTGAAGAAACAAGATAAGTTAAGAACACAGAGAAGTAAGGTATAGAGGAAACGTAATGGTTATTGTAAGACTTACTACGTCAATAGCTCAAAATATTTTATGGTGAATCTCAGAACACTAGTGAAGAGTTTTCCATCAAATGGCTCTGTCTTAGTTAATTTAACACAAAAACATGCTCACGACTCAAACTTGTAGTAATTTAATCAAAATTGGTATGTTATTTTTTTAGTTTATTTTATAGACAAACGATGCAGGCCTTCGAGGACAGACTGTGCGGTAGCGGTCTGTCCCCGACCTGTGGCGTGACTGCATGCTCATTCCAGGTGTGTTTAATAACATACAAATTTTGTTTAAATGTCAACGTGTTCGTGTACGTATTTTTGTATTAAATTAACTATGACGGAGCCATTAGGTGGAAAACTTTTCACCTCTTCATTAGTGCTCGGCTGAAGATGACACAGAAGTGTCCAACCATGTACTGAGATTGACCATTAAATATTTTAAGCTAATAACATAGGTAGTAGGTCTTACAATGATTATCTCCAGTTCAGGGGCATAACGATGAATTTAAAATATAATGGTACATTTAAGTGGTATCTAGGACAAAGTTGAACATCGCCCCCCTCGTCCTGATCTACTACAACACTCACGGTGAAGGAGGCTCTGTGCGATAGAAATTTCCTCACAGTGCTTGCCATTCAGGCTCTTTCTTACTCGTCCCAAATATCCAGCACAACATACCAGAGCTGAATGTGCACGGTCGTCCCATAAGTAAGTTTCCTCTGAACCTTACTTCTCTGTGGTTAAGAATCAAGGACTCAGTGAATCAAAGAACAATCAAAAACCAAGATAAACAGAGTCAGCAAACTGGCACATACTTTCTCCCATTAGCTTGACATTGAAATTGAACATACTACTACTATTATGAGCAAAAACTTTTAAAATAATTATACCGGGTGGATCAGAGGGGGACTTGGGGGAAGTCCCGAAAATTGCAGTAACTTTTGAACCGTAATTTTGTACAGCGTTGAGAGTTGGTTAAAAGAACCATAAACATAGGTATTAAATTTCATAATATAAATAAACGGCCGTAATATACGGAAACCTCAGAGCTGTGACGAGGTATTTATATCATATTATATTCATCAATTCAGCTCAGGGGCAATTCATGTCTATTGAGTAAATTTCAATCTAAATTGTTCAAGCTGTTTTTAAAATCAAATTGTCTGTTAATTTATAGTTTTTTTTTTATGTGAAAACCATCACTAAAAATCCAAATTTCAAATTATAAAAATTCTTTTGCAACACACATCCTAACACACACACACCCGCTAATAACTGCAAAAATGACTTTTTTGTGGTTCAGAGAAACCCAAATCAGATATTTCCACCTGAAACTCAAACTGTAAATCTTGACAAAAACAATAACTTCTCCACAATAGGGGGGGGGGGGAGTAAAAACATAGCCTACCTGCAGATGAAATTTATTGAGCATCTCCACTCCTTTCTCAGACATCTTTGTACACTGTGATATGTCCAAGTAGCGCAGTTGACGACAGTGGTCGACAATGGCAGAAACTGAGGCATCAGTCAGTTGATTGCAACCCTGATAAGAACGTAGAAATGTAGAGGAATAAATTTCAAAAACACAAACACAAACATGTCAAAACTAAGTATAATATAACAGTGGTAGCAAAAAAATAACAAATTAGAATTTTTAGTAGCTTAAAATATTTTTTCCTACAGTTACCTAACAATGTACATGTTCTCTCACTGATTTGAGAAAGCAAAGTAGCCAATTCGCTCATCAGTGAGACAATGTTAACATTGTCTCACTCCAGATTTGCAACGTGAAGGCACGAAATCGAAATAGTGAGCGCGTAACATGCAGGCAACGTCGCATGCACGCGAAATACGTTGGCAGCACTGGCTGAAAATCAGCTGGTCAGCTGTTGTACTGTTGTATTTATCACTTCACATTAAATGTTATATTAAAAGTTCACTTCTGTGTAAAAATAGGTTATGTTTCTTCACAAATTTATTTGTTTTATGGTAACTGTAGGAAAAGTATAATGTGCAACTCGAGTTCAAAGTACAATTGCCTCACTCGAGAAACCATTCCTCACTCGCCTACGGCTCGTGAGTAAGGATTTCTCTCGAGTGAGTCAATTGCTCACTTTTCTCACTAGTTGCACAAATAACTATATATTCGACCTTAATAAGGACATTAGTGCAAAAACAATAGTTAGTGCGTATGTTTTAATTGATCGTTGACTAAAAGCCATCAAATAACCAAGAAATTGTTTGTAAAATTTAAATTTTGTTGCTTATGTTTTGTTAAAAAGATGCCTTTATTAGGAAAGTTGATAGTATCGTATGAATTTGATTTTACTAGATTTTTTTATTTGCACAGCTTGATTTCAAAGAGCAGCCCAAAACCATTCTGGAAGTTTGTTAGGTAAAAGTTTCAAAAATATATTAAAGCTAAAAAAACTTCATAAATAACAAAAAGTGATAAAATTTTAGAAGAACCTACATTAGTTAGAGTATAAGATAGAGTTTCGCTATAGATAGGTTTGACAAGTGACTCACTCACTTTGATATCGAGGTACTTCAAACGTCGCAATCCCCTCGTGATAGCGACCACTCCTCCATCAGCTATGTTGTAGCAATGACTCAGGTTGAGAGTGTCAATGCTCGGGTTGTTTTCCCCAACTGAAGCTAGCCCAATGTCTGTGATCTAAAAGTAGTATAAATTAATAAATTTTCAAGATTTTTGTGGAACTGTTTTAATCCCTAAAACATTTTTGGCTGGGTTGGTAACTCCCAAAAGTGAACTTATTAAAACAACTTTGAAATATCAAAACTTTAATTTTAGGAAAATATTTTCAGTACAAAATAAGACTTGCGTCCAAAAAACTGACTGTGTCAAAATGATACTCATAAATTTAAAAGATAATTTTGGAAAAAAAACAATTATTCTCAATAATAAATACAAATTGGTGAGAGTTTTTTTTTCTTTGTGAATGTTTTGTCCTACATTATGACAACACATACATTATCTAGTAAGTTACAGACTTTTTATATTAGACAAGCTACCTCGAGTAGCCTAAAATTGGGACACCATATGCATATTACACAAGTTTAATTTTAGCTGTCATTTTAAGGTCACAATCTCAATACCACTTTCTAGTGCAAATGTCACCACAAAAAATTAAAAAATATTTAACAAAAAATGATTAGCTAATAAATTACCTGCTGGCATTGACTAAGATTTAAATGTTGCAGCTCTAAAAAGCGGAACGAGTATTTGAGGCTGACATCCGTGATTTTATTACAGCATCGCAAGTCAAGATCCTGAAGACCTGAAATATATAAATTGTAGAACTTATATAAATATACTAACTTTAGTCTAACTTACATATTCACCTTGCCTGCCTAATTTGCTTATACTATATAGTTGATACAATTTTAAATTGTTGTGAGTTTGACTTGATCTGTTTACATTCAGCTTGTTGGTTCTATCTTCTTCGCAATTAAATTGTGTTATGTTTAATTGATCCTCATTTATATACCAGGGAAATTTAGTGATCGGCCTCAGAGATACTTAAACCACCCATATATCTTGAAGAATAATATAGCCTACCTAACATTTTATGCTGAGAATGATGAAATCAGCAATGACCCATTAACCCTGAAGGAAGCGATAGGAAACCCTGATAGGGAATTGTCGATACAAGTTATGAATGAGGAACTTTCATCGCAAATAGAAAATAATAGAAGAAAGCTTTGAATTATAATACACCAAGAGAGCTGCGTATGGAACCTCATTTGCCCCAAAGCAAGTCCCGTACAAGGTTGTGTTCAACACAAAGGCATAGATTATGATGAAGTTGCTCCTGTTATGGGTTACAGCTCTGTACGCTATTTAATAGAATTAGCCGCTGAAAACGACTTTGAAATAGACCAAATGGATTCTGTCACTGCATTTACTCAAGGAGATCTCCACCAAAGGAGTATACATGAATCAACCTGAAGAATCTCATCATGAACCAAACAAAGTTTGTCGATTAGGCTGGGCCTAAAAGTAAATATGGTCTAAAACAAGCAAGTAATGAGTGGAATCAGAAACTTCACTCATGTTTGACGAAAATAGGACTAGCTCAGTCAATCTTTGATTCATGTGTTTATCACATGATGAAATACCCCCGCCGCAGCAAACCTGCCGACTAAGCGAATTTCCATTTGTCTGAATTGATTTTCAGTTAAATATATTTTAATAACATTAGGTTTAACGAGTACCTAGGTTTGCTGCTACAGGAAACTAATAAAGTGTGTTTTTGAGTAAAATATTGATAGCTTAGTACAAAATAAATAAATTTGCCAAGTTTGATCAAAATATATTCATAAACAAGCAAACTACAACATTTGACAATATTCTCCATAAGAATAACATGGGAATTTTAAATTTACAATTTTTTTAATTTTCTCCGTTACTAATAATCGAACAAAAATACTTTTATATACTAAATTATTTGTTTTTTTAAGCTCTTTAAAAAGGTCTAAAGAGAAATTGGGAAATTTTGTTTTTTGAGGGTCAAAAGTGAGAAAAACCAATTTTTACCCCATAAAACCCCCCGTAAAGCCCCGTTCCCATGGTCCGATCGTGCTGGTTCGCGAACTCATTCAAGTTTATTCCGCTTTACACCTTTAAACCAAATTTCATCAAAATCGGACAAAAATTACTCAAGTTATCGCGTTCACGGACGTATGTATATATATATAAGTCTATATATATATACATATATAAAAATTTGAACGAATAGTGTTTTTGGCCTCTGGGGACATCAAAATGAAAAAGTAAATCGGCCCTGGGTCTAGGTCTTACCGTGCCACCTACGGTAATAGCTACTTCCCTATAGGGAAATTCGCTAAAATGGGATGAATATCAATCGTAGCAGTCTTCATGGAGGATTTGCTAGCTTTTGATAACTTTCATAAACATCCAAAAGAAACCCTAAAGTCAAGACAAGAAAGTTATGAAAGAATTCAAAATGAAAAATAAGGAGACAGCAAAATTTATTTTGGGATTTAAAACTTGTTGTAAGATTTTATAAATCGGTTTTATAAAAGAAAAGGCATGAGGTGAAAACTGACTGGGCTTTATACAGATTAGTGACTACATTAAGGCCTAGGTTAAGGGTTATGTCATGTTAAAGGTCTGCATTAAGTCCGGTAATTTAAATCAGCACACTCTCTCAGTAAAGAAAAAGAAATCCTTAGAAAAGGAAAGGTCATCCAAGTCAATTTTTTCTAACCTACAAAATAGTTCTAAAATCAAGGTTAATACTACCCTTTAACCCATTACCTTGAAGGTTTAAACTTCAAGGTTGAAATCTATCCAGATATTTAAGTAGTAGGGGTGTGCGAAGCAGCAAAAAATTTTCAATTCGAAGCAACGATTCGATTCAAAAGATTTTCGATTCGATTCGATGCAACTCGATTCGAAGCAATACGGTATTTTTCTATTCATAATTGTCAATTGAGTGGATTAACAATAATTAAAATTTATCACATTTGTGTAATACAAATTTTTGTTGATGTGGTATTAGGCCTATTCATACTTACATATGAATTTTAGGTGAAAAAATATTTATTTTCAATCATATGTATTAGAATAACTGCTGGAAATACCAGTGAGCTGCTTTACTTGCCTATTTCATAATTTTTACTTGGAATTGGCTCAACTGCAAGAAAGAAGAAAATATTTTTTTTATCAAGACATTCATTCTCATTTTAATAACTGTTTAAATAACTAAATAGGTACCGGTAGCTAAATTACAACAAATTTGAATGGAACTTAATATAAAAAGACCATTAAGAAATAAATTTACATATCACAAGTTTAGGGCCTGTGGACCGGCTTCAGGACTGCAAGCAAGAAGAAAATAAAAATAATATGTTTCCACCATGCAACATGTATCATTCATTCCCTGCCTCCTAACCTCCTTAGTATAATAACCTCACACTTACATTATTTGTTACATCATCATAAATAAAGAATTATTATTGGCATCAGTAGGCCTACAGCTTTACATAGGCATTATTTTTATAGGGCCTAAAATAGTAATAGGCTAGAAGCAACATGTCAAGTGGAGAACTCATTGAAGAAAAGATATTGTATAAACTAATTTCCTATAAAACTCAAAAACAGTAAATAACATACAAACATTGTTTGTGGTATAATTAATAAGGACTAAAAAATGCATATCATGTCATACAGTAGTATAGACCTACCGGTACTGCAAGAGATTAAAATCCTAAAACAACTGATTTTGATAGCTAATGAATGAAAAGAATTAAAAATCCATAAAATGAAGCTAAACAATATCACAACTAATTAGGTACCCGAAAAGTAACTCTTAAATAATATATAGAAGATTAAAATAACATTAAATCAAGAGACAAGAAAGTTAAATGCTATCTTCTAGTGCCCTTGGCAACACAGGTCAATGTTTTTAAACTACCCTCAATGTTTTTGGAACAGCAGGGCCTTTTTCTCTTAAGGAAGGGTAGTAGTATGTCAACAAAAACAATGAATCAGTCTCACCAGCCAGGCCCGGGCAACGATGTGTGCATTCAAGGTCATAGACCCTCCCCCTCCCCTCTTACACCACCCGGTTGCTACCCAGTTGCTTCAATTGCTGACAAAATGCAAGTGATGAAACAAGGAAGTAGAGACAAAGAAATATATTTCTTTATTCAAAAACACAAAACTGTTAGAGATTATTTTCAAAGAAATTAATTCAATGTAATTTGTGAATTGTAAATATTGTATTGGATCTTAGAAATATATTTTTTTAACCCTATTTAACCAAGATACAGATCTGTTCACTATATCAGATATTTCTTTTGTTTATAATTTATTATGTAAAATACTAAAATATATTTTTAATTAGGTATTGAATGAACAATAAATGATTATACTAGTATGTCTGGATAAATAGTCTTTCTATTCTTTTGACTTTGTTTTCTTTGCACTGTTAGTGTTGCGTCACGGCTTTTGTCTTGTTACTCTTATCAGTAGACGACTAGACCTGGCTCTGGCTAGTGGCAGTGCGGCAATTGCTCTGTTGTGTCTTTATTCTTAAAGGTCGTGAGCCAACTTAATTTTTAATTCTCATTTGAACATTTTAATTCCTCTGTAATAGATATAATAATATAAGAGTGTTTCTTTGGAAATAAATTATTCTTTTTTTTTCTTTTGCCCCAACAAAAATTCGGGGACGGGGACCGACAGACACCTAACAAAAATACCAAATGTATCAGTCTATAACATTGATCTTACTAGTTAAGTGTTAAGTAACAATTTTTCAGACTTATTTTTAAAATGATTTTGGAGTAACCTACCTTGTTTTGGCTAGGTTCACAGTAGTAAAATATTTCACACACTGCTTACATCAAGACAAAAAACAAAACCTCTAATCATTTGCAATGTCAAAAAAAAAAAATATAAAACAATTAAAGCTATATTTAATGCAAAGAATGTATTAAATAAGAACGCCTTCGTAAAGGAAACGCAACAGCAACGCGCTCCTGTATTGCGGGTATTGCATTGACTTTCTGCAGGCGTTTTTCGTATATGGATACTGACTCCCTCGTGAATCGAATCGTTTTTTGACCACCACTGAATCGAATCGCGATTCGATGCATCGAATCGAATCGAATCGAAATTTCGATGCATTTTCGATGCATCGCACACCCCTATAATAAGTAGGTACTGTAAGTGAACAATTGTATGGTAGTTGTATGATTATTGCTATAAGAATATTAATTGCAAACATCATTACAAAACAACAGACTTCATTATGAATGAGCTGTTTGAAAGAACTGCCATAAAAATTGTCATAAAATAATGTACCACTGACCTTTTAGCCGAACTAAGGAATATCCAATATTCGAGCTATGGACGAGTTGAGCTTCACACATCTTTTGAACTGCTTTCTTCCTGTTGGCGTCTTTGATTATCTCTTCCTCGGCTTTGCTGCGTAGGGATATGTACGGCCTGGGCTGAGATATCACTACGTCACTCATTGTTTCTTGTACGGCAGCAACATCAGCGTCGTCTGCAGAAGCACTGACACCCATCCCCGTCAACCCAGCATCAGTCACAGAGTCACAACTAGCCAACCTCAACGACCGAAGCTTCAACTGATGCTGGAAAATGGCTTGTACTGAGTCGTCGGTGACTGCGTTGAAGCAGTAGCTCAAATTCAAATGAGTCAGTTCTGGTAAGTTCTTAGCCATCAGGATTATAACAGGGCTTGTTACAGTATTCAACCCCTCCATGTATAGTTTCCTGACCTTCAAGTTGATTTCAGAACACAACCCTTCTTTGATACCTTCGTTTGTTACTTGCTCGCACTGGGAAATGTCAAGTTCTTCGAGATGTTTTAGTTTTTTCAACTGAGTGATACCGATGTCTGTGATCGCTCGACAGTTTCTTACAGCGAGCTTTTTCAGATTTGTCAAATCATTGCAGATGTACAACAGCGATTGGTCTGTGATTCTTGAACAGTAACTGACGTCCAACACTGTAATGTGTTTTTGATGTTGGGATACTGCATGAATTGCTGCGTTTGTCAGCTGTTCACACGACGTAACGTACAGTTCATCCAGCTCAAGTTGGTCAAGCTCTGATAGTAACGATATTGCGTTACTATCAATTAACGTTCTGCTTAAATTTACCTTTTTAATTACATTCACTCTTTTACTAATAAAGTTGAAGAAGTTCCAAAATGTTAGCACTGTTTCTGAAGCGTATTCGCTATTATCAACAGTCAATCTGTCCGGATAATATTTCTTATATAGCCCTGCGTGGTATGACATCTGACATCCTTCAAGAGAGATTGATTCCAATTTGGGTATGACTGCCATAAGTCGGTTGAGTAGTGCATCGGATAAATAACGGTTAGCGTTAAGATTTAATTCTTTCAACTGACAGAGAACTGTACAAACAGCCCTTACATCTGCAGCGCTTTCTAGCAGTCGCCCAGCCATGAATAGTTCACGGCAATTATCCAATACTAATGATTCCAAATTCACACAGCCTAGTAAGATTTCAATGAATGTCTTGTCGTACATATCACAGTTTACAAAACAAAGAGATTTCAAACTCGGTAACATTTTTTCCCAAAAACCTTTCAATTTATGGTTTATTTCAAGTTCTATCAAAATAAGGTGAAAATATGACTTTGATGAGTTTTTGAAGATTGAAAATGCTTCTGGTGATTTTTTGATAACCACCTTTTCTTGATTGATAAATTTTGGATGGAGAGAGGCCTCGTACCAAATCTTGCAAACTTGACTGGCTACAACTCGGTCTGGGTATTGAAGAAATCCCATTATGTGAATTATAACCTGAAAAAACCACAAATGAAAAAATAAGGCAAAAGCATTTTGTTGAAACATTCTACATAGGCTATAATGCCAAGTAGGTAGCCCGCATTACGAGATTCCAAAGTTTCACAAACTTTCACTAGCTGAGAACTGCTTCCAGTTAAAAAACCTGAAAAACTAATTGATACGCCAACAATATCAGTTAAACAACAAGGCAGTTTCAATATTGAAATTGTTTCCTCGTTGTCTAATGAGCTATTACAAAAGATAAAAAGCAATATGGGTGTAACATAAATGACACGGTTAACCTAACTATTACCTACACTTTACCTTCTTAAGCCCTAACCTGCTTTTCCACTTGCCTAAATAAGATCCATTGTTCAATCTGTGCTTTATACAATTGTTGGATTATTCCATAATATTTTTCTGCAGAGAACCTGCGATATATTATAGGATATATATATTAAATCAATTTAGATTTGGTTTGATAAATCATCGATTTGAAACTATTATTATTCCAATATAAACATAGAGTTAAGTTATGATCTGTTTACATTTTTATTGATTTTTAATAAACTAAAGAAAACATCGATTTGCATTTATTATCTTTTACGTTTTCATTGATATTTAGATTAAACTACAATAGGCTATTTTACCAAAAGTAAAATATATTATGAACATTAAAAAACAAACAATAAGTTAACTAAAACTGCAATCATTTATAAACAAATGATAAACAAACAAAAAACCTTCAATCTAGGGAAGAATTTAAATTGCCTTTAAAAAAATTGAGAAACGGATCAAGAATCAAAGGTTTATTTCTTGTAGTCACTTTTGAGATCATTACTTTGCACAGCCACAAATCAAACTCCTCACGAGCACGTACTTCTTACATCCACGTAGATCTGGGAACAATGGTGTTTCAGCTCCTTCATGGCTTCTCAATTCCGGCCCTGTCTACTTAAAGAGATTCAATCGTACGTCCAAGTATGAGCCACTTGTTGAAGAGGTCCAACTTCTTCACGGGAATGCCGAGTATGCTCATGTTAAGTTGCCTGACGGAAGAGAAACTACCGTGTCTACACGTCATCTTGCTCCGGTTGGTGAGTACCAAACTGACATAGAGCAAACCGATTTTGAGAGTGATGAAAATATTCTATTACCCACTTCTCAACCTGAACCTGAATACTTTCCTAGTCCATCATCAACACAGAACCAAGAAGATGAAATGAATACTACTGCCGAGAATTTACAACCTAGACAAGAAGCTTCTAGAGGAGAGAACCATAACACATATCCGAGAAGAAGTTTTAGAAGCAGAAGACCTCCTAATTATTTAAATGACTACGTTCATTAACATTAGGGAGGAAGAATGTAGTAAAAAAACATGTGTCTTCAATTCTTTATTATTGTTTTGTTGTGTTTGTAAACAAGTCCATTATAATTCAATGTAGTATTGTTCAAGTTATTAAAAACCTTTCTAAAGGTAATACAAGTTATTTTCATTCATTCTTACTCTCATTACAATGCTATTATGCAGTTTATAACGACTGTAAAAATATAAAGATATTTGAGTTTGAGTTTAACTTTTAACCGGACATTGGTTTAATCGGACTACACTCGGCGGAAATGACATTTCTTTAACCGGACTACATCGGCAGGAAGTGGGCGGTACTATTCTCGTGGGAAATATGTATACAGTACCGGTATGTATTTAAATGGTCCTTTTAGGCTAACGAATTTTGGGAATGTCGGTTTAACCGGAAAAACCGTTATCCGGACGGGCCTCTGTCCCGAGGAGTCTGGTGAAGAGTGAGTCTACTGTACATGATAAAATAAACAAACTACCTACTTTAGCTGGAGTTAACTTATGGAAGAGGTGGGAAAAATGTATTATTGATGCCATAGAATAGTTTATAGGCTAAACTAATTTTAGAACGATTTAGCTGAGGTTTCGGTCATAAATAAGTATAGTACGGTACCAAAAATTTAACTAGGTACCTTAGCTTTTTTAATGGTTCAAATTGGATCCAGCCATCTAGCCTATGATTAATGCAATGGGTAGATTGATATAACTTCCAGCAGCGACCTTCTGGTTACAAGTCAGCACTTAACTCATAGACCACTCAGTAACCTTAACCAAACTGCAGTGCAGTAATGTGAGTAAATGTAGGACGTAAAATAAAATGCAGCCATTTAGAGTAGACTTCTGTATCTGTTGGCACAAACAACCGAATGAAAATATCGATCGATATATCGTTTGGTTAGGTAGGTAAGGTTAACCAAACAATATAGGTATCGAATGAAACATCGGACAATCAATATTTTCATTTGGATGTTTGTGCCAACAGATACGGAAGTCTACCCATATAATTAAATAAGGTATAATATAATTAAATAAAGGCAAACATATAAACGTGTTGGAAAGCAGACTTTCCAGAACTGTTTTCCTTTTAACACGTTCGCTACTGAGCGTCGCATATGCGACGCCGCGGTCATTGTCACAGACCGAGGTATACATTTGAATTTTACACATAGACCGGCTGTCACTTGGTTTACAGTACACACAGACCACAGGCGAAAACCTTATAAAACAATGATCATTTACATCGTAATACGCTACAATCGTGTTTGTAAATAATTTATTCTTGTTTTTTTTGTATTTTTTATAATTTTGTGCTATTGCAGTGTAGCGTGTTAAGGAAATTAAAAAACTTGGTCACAGACACCTACCTAAAGCTGGCCTATTATGGCCTCTTCCACAGCCCGTTGAGCTATCATTGTCTGGGGACATGCTTCAGAGACCAACAAAACATTCTGATAGTTCAAAAGGCTGCCATAAGAGCCATAACCTCCAGCGAAAGAGACAAACACTCTAGGCCACTTTTCCGTGCCTTAGGAGTAATGACTATTAACAGCCAATTCATCTACAACTGTCTGGTGCAGGTCAAGGAAAATATAGATAACCTCAACTGCAGACACCACCTACATAACTTAGTTATAAGTTAATTTGAGAAAAGGAGAAAATCAAAACGTTCCTTTCTGCAGGCTGAGTAAACAAAAATAGTGGTTATCCGGTCCTTGGCGTCAAACTCTATAACCACCGGCACCAGGACATAAAGTCGCTCCCTCTTAAGGACTTTAACTTAGAGGAGCTACTCAAGGCCCTGTAGGCCGAAGGAATATTTCACAGAGGAAAATGGTGAATGGACCTCGTAACTACAGCCATGTTAACCGCTTAAATATCTAAAGTATTAAAATTTATTTTTTTTTTCTTTTGACGAAATCAATCCAGTTACTAGGTACTGGTCAACGATGGATAACATGGTATAAAGGCATAAAGTATATAGGGCCTAAATAAATTACAGTTGGGCCTAGTATTTAAATTAATGGTGTGATCAAGTCTAACTTAACTTAGGCTAATAATTTTAAAAATTGTACGGGTGATTTAACTTATTCAAATTAAGTTAGGTACCGGTACTTAAGTTAATAGGCTTAGTTGGAATAAGACCTACCTCTAAAGGAAGAAAATTGACATTATTTTCAGTCATTGGATGATCTTCCTCTGGATTAACACTTTCAATTTGAATTAACCTGTTCATTATTAATAAGCAAAGGTTAGCGATGTAAGTTATATGACCTAGGCTAGGCAAAAAGCACAATCTCTTAAGCTAACATAGCCTAACGTAATTTCTAGCTAAAAACTTCCTTTTAACATTCACACTTTGATTTAATAGGCCTAGGCCTAGTAGGTTTTAAAAATAACACTATTTAAATTATTACTAGGCCTTACTGAATAAAGATAAGTTAAATGTAGGACTAAGTATTTCACTAAAGGCAACTGAACTTGTAAGGTGAATCACATAATTATTTCTCACTTACTGTAACACATAAATAATAAAAGTTAAATAATAATACAGATATCAAGGTTTGAATAATAGTTTTGCATTATATTGTGTTGTTGAAATTGTAAAATGTTGTTTGTGTTGTGTATCATCATCCTGTCATGTGTCTTAGAAAAGTGATCATATGACCGTACCATTCCATAAATCCGTAAAACAGATGACAAGATAGTAACAGTAAATCAGGTTTTAAACTGTTGATGTTGATTTGAGCATTGATTTTTTTTATTTTAGGTCAAGGAAATCATGTAGTGGGGATATAGGGTGTTTAATATTTGCATCTATGTAAGTTTCGGATTCAAGGAGGGGGGTGAAAGTGATACGCTAGCTGAGCTCCAATGGCTTGCGATAAGAACCCATCCATCGCAAGTTTGTTCACCGGCCCCCTCTCAAATAATCTGTAAAAACCAAACCATTATCACAGGCATTTCCACATAAGCTTGCACTTGGGCTTTGCACCTTCCGAGGCACCGAGGTGTCATCATCGTCTTCCATGATCAAAAATCCTGAATATCTGCATAGGTCACGGAAATGGTATCACCGTGTATTCCGTGACCGCTTAGCTTAAACCCCTAAAGAAACGTGAATATATACTTCCAACAGTCACGAAAGCATTATCATCATCCATCACCGTGAATGCAACCAAATCAAGGACATCTCCTGTGGCCGTGTAGGCAATATCATAGTCTCGACCGCGATCGCGGTCAATAATCTCCTATTATCCCGCGGTTACGGAAACATAATCTTTTTCCGCAATCTTGGCAAACAAAATCCTTATCTCCAGTGGCATCATCATTCATCATCTTCTGTGATAGCGACAAAATCTTGAATATCATCGCTCGATCTTGAAACATTAGTCTTCCAGTATCGCAGCAAAATCCTAAACAGATCCAGCGGTCGTACCGTATGGACCATAATCGTCTTCCGCAATCGTGGCAAAATATTTGACAACTTCCGCGGCCTTAAACCCGCGGTGGAATGTTCTCGACCTCGTCGGCATCATGATCGTGGCAAGGCAAAAACTGGCAAACGCGTTAATCGTCAAACTTTCAATCACGTTGGTGTGATCCTCATATACGCGTTCTAGGCGATCATGATGTTTTCGCAGTCGTAAAAGCTCGGATTGAGCTTGATTTTTTTGAGATAGATCAAGATCCCTCAAGTTTTTAAGCTAGGCTCGGCTTGGCTAGAAAATCATTCTATTAAAACTCAACACTTTCCAAAAACTGATTTTGAACCGACCTAGGGTTTCAACGTTTCAACCTGAGACCTGAAGGTAATATTTTTGACCTGTGACTCAAAGTCAAAATCATTATTAAACCAGATCAGAGATCAATATTGGCAATGGCCAAGTCTAAACTAAAATAAAAATTTATTTTCAATGTAAAAATAAGCGCAATACAATCATTGACATGTTTTATGTGAAAATACCTCAGTACTGTATTTTAAATTTTAACCCAAACACGTCCAGCCGGCACGCTTCCCAGCTTGCAAGGTCCGAACACAGGCACGGCCGCCTTTAACTCCAGGCCGCGGCCTTCGAAGTGGCAACGTCGCAAGTGGTGTTGTAACAGCTGTTTTGTTTGGAAGCAGCTAATGGTATTTTTGTATTTACGAAAGATTGGTTACTGGACTATGACGATATTGACTCCACAAATGTACAGATATAGATTTTTAATTCATTCTTTCGGGTTTCAATTCTGTATGTTTTATTTTTCAATATTTTAATAAATTTATGTTCATGAATTTAAGTTTAAATCAATAAAGTGAGAATTAATGAGCTGATATCACCTGTGTTATCTTATGGGATGTCTTGTCACTAAACAACACCACTTGCGACGTTGCCAATTCTACCAGGCCGCGGCCTGTAGTTAAAGGTGGCCGTGACACAGGTCGTCAACGTCAACCCAGCTTTCCTAGCCTACCCTCCCCATTACATATGGATAACCTCAACTTGGATAGAAAAGGATGACTTGACATCTTGTAAAAATTAATTTATTGAACTGAAAATTAGTTCAATTTGTAAATTGTTTGCAAAATTATTAATATCTATTATGTCTTATTGCAGGTCTGCAGCAACAGGGGCTATGGTTCACTTTGAAAGTTCATCATCACATTGCTTTAGTCTTTCGCACAGCTAGACACCTTCCGATTGGCTGGTACTTGTCTTGTCTTGTACTTGTACTTTATCCGTCCCCGTCCGTTCCGTATTCCATAATCCATTCCGTAGTAAAAAAAACTGAAAAATGAGGATTGAGGTTGAGGATTGTAGTTTTCAGTATTGTATTCTGTTCTGCATTGTATTCAATGATTGACAAACTTGTATGCTGTTTTACCTAAATTGTGTTTTACAATTTTTAATTTTTTAATGATTTAGGTTTGAAATCTAAAATCACATACTAAACAAGTCTTTGGCTGCTTGCATGAAAATTGTATTCAATTTTTAGTTTTACAAATAACTTAGTGGGGTAGTTATGATAACTTCTGTTTGCTTGCCTCTTCAACGTCTTCTGCAGGATGTACTGTCTTCGAAACTCGGTAAGTTAAATTTGAATAATTTTTAATTTTCAATACCCTATTTAAAGACGAAATAAGTTAGCCCGAGTTCAAACAAATGAATTCATTTTGAAGTCAGGACAGGCCGTTTAAATACTTTAAAGTAGGCTAGGCCTAGGTAGGCTTAGGCCTAGTCCTAACCTTTAGGTGGAAACTTGAAGCAATCAAAACTTGGCTTGGCCTATGCTTGCCAATTTGTAAAGCAATACTCGTAAACTCAGTTAACTTACACGAAGATGAAAACAGGTTAGTTGCCAGTTTGGGTGCAGTTTCTTAACTGGGCTATGCTCCCTAATATCGATTGAAACTATCGATTCGATTAGTAAACCTTCATGCGATTTTTTCACCATCAGCAACTTTGGTTGGCTAGGTTAGGTTATGATAGTTTAATTTTATAATAGATATATTTAAAAATATTGATTATTAATCAATATTTTCAATTCGATAGTTTCAATTGATATTAGCATAGCCCAGTTAAGTAACTGTACCCGCCAGTTTGTTCGAGATACAGTGATCATAAGGCCTATGGTACAGAATCGTTCATGCTCCCTTACTCCATTCAAATTTTGTTATGGTGTAGGCTCTAACTTAGTTAGGCCTAGTAATGATAACCCACATTTGGATTAATTGGTTTTGCAATTAATTTTTACCTCCTTAACCCTCCGAGTGGTTACAGGTAAGTTTCCATACCTAGGCCTAGCCTATTTAACTTATAACTTAGTGGCCAAGCCAAATTGCCATTTTGCAGACATACCTATTCTTTTTCAAACATAAACTCTAATTAAGTTATGGTTGGAACATATCAATATGCGGTAGGCTACTCGTTTCATTCAGAAAATTCTGGGAGATATGAATAGGCCTAACCTAAGTTACAGTAAGTTAGGCCTACGTGAAAAGAAATTGGATTGGTCCCATCAAATTGTTCTAACTACCGGTAACTTAAGTTACGGTAGGCCTAACATACTAAACTTAAAATGTAAATTAAGTACTACAGTCCACTCTTGGTAATTCAAACACTTGATAATTCAAAACTTTCGATAATTCAAAATGAAGGCTCAGTCCCTAGAGAATCTCTCAATATTTCAAATTTTTACCATGCATTTTGATACACTCGGTATTTCAAAGTCCAAATAGAGGGCAGGTCAATTTGTAACACGCAGTAATTCGAAGTTTCGTCGGAAAAACACTCTATAATTCGAAGTAACTCAGTAATTCAAAGTTTCGTCGGTTAACACTCTATAATTCAAAGTCATGCTGTAATTCGAAGTTTCGTCGAAAAAACACTCTATAAATCAAAGTCACGCAGTAATTCGAAGTGATCTCTTCCTGTTATAACAGGAAACTATACAGTACAGTACATCCTGTTCCCATGGTAGGCTAGTGTTGGATGTTTTGATGTTTGTTTAGTTAGAGCAGTAGTCTGAGTTAGTTCTCTGACTTGTTTTTCTAAGTTGGCAATCCGATCTCTAGATTGCGCGACATCTCCTTCAGCACAAACGTAGTTGTCGACAGCTGATAGTTCAGCTATTGGCAAAATATATAGCTAGCGCTAAATAACAGATTTCTTTGCAACTAAAGTAACTGAAAAATAAGCCGTTGATTGTTTAAAAGTGTACTAAAATACGGTACAGTATGATGTTTTATTGTAACGTGCCGTACCTTTGTATGTATGTATTAAAAAATGAACTCTCTGTAATTCGAATGGTTTATTTTTCTCCCGATAAATCGAACTCTTGATAATTCAAAACTCTTGATAATTCAAATTTATGTGCTTGGCCCACCAATTTCGAATTATCAAGAGTCTACTGTATATCAATTAATTTGATAGGTAAGCCAACTTATCAAGTTATGGTTCGTTATAAAAAAAAGCCAATTCAGGGCCAGTCCTAGACCCCTAAGTTAGGTTCCACCTGAGGTGCGGGCTCTGGGTTCGGTAGTAGACCCTACCTATAGAGAATAAGTAACTGACCCCCCAAATTAGCCGTTTGAATTAAAGTTAACTTAGTAACTTCACTAAGTACCCGATTATTCGTTACATCTCTAGTGGCAACTTTATTGTCATTTGCGATCGTGGCAAAATTATGATCATTTTCTGTGATTGTGGTGAAATCGTTCTTAAAACATCAGATCCTGAGGTCATTAAACAATTAATCCATAAGCGTCTTCTGTGGTCTCGGTGTAATAGTGAACATCTCAGTAACTTACGTTCCTGTTAAAGGGAACATTCATTATTATCGATGATTTTTTTTCTCAACATAGGCCTACTGTACAGTATTGGTATTTTATTTTTTGATCCGATTATATCGATATTAAGTTAACACATCGATTTGTAACCTGCGAATTACTTTAATACTTGATACTTGATACTTGTGTGCTGCGTCGTTGACCGACAATGTCGGATAGACTGCGTTATTATATACATTTAAAAATAAACACTACTATTTACATACATATAAACAATACAACTTAAACAGGCTGTTATTACAATTGTCATAAACAACTCTGCCAAATGGCCAAAATTGCCAGGGCATCGAGCAATTTGGCTTAAATCAGGTCAGGGCAGTCCTAGGGTTAGGCCCTATTCCATTTATATATTATACTAGCAACAGAGCCCGTTGTAGTTAAATACAACGGTCCCTAGAAAGTACAGTAGTACATAATATATGCCCTTGTAAGTACCTGAACATTTTTTAAAGAATGAAATTGTTTAGAAAATATACTGATTTTCTAAAAGAGTAAAATAATGAAAAACAAATAACGTTTTACAAAAATATTTTATTTACAGTATTTCTTTGTAAACAACATTCTTTGTAAAGACTTCATCTGATTGTTTCAATAATTTTCCTTGTTCTTTGCCAGGGATAATTTTAATTTTTAAGTCTTCAAACCTTTTTACCCTTGATATTGCAACATACAATTGTCCATGGCTGAATACTGGTGCTGGAAGGTATATCCCAACTTTATCCAATGTCTGGCCTTGCGCTTTGTTTATTGTAATAGCAAACGCTAATTTTAAAGGAAATTGCCGTCTTTTTAAAACAAATGGTAAATCTGTGTCCGTCTGTGCTAAGTCAATCCTTGGAATGAATACAATTTCACGTGCTGCTGATCCAGTTAAAACCTCTGCAATTATTAAATTGGGCTTGAGTTCTTTAACAATTAATCGTGTGCCATTACATAACCCCCGTTTTGTGTTAAGATTTCGCAGCAACATTATTACAGCTCCAATTTTTAAATTTAATTTGTGTATTGGCATTCCCGATGGTGATAGCTGATTTAAAAATTCTATAGGATAATGAAGATCTGCTTGTGGACCATTATCCGCTTCAATAGAATCTGAACTTAAGTATGTTACTGATGTTCCTTCCAGTAAGTTGTGAACAGTTTCATTTAGACAATCCACATCTGAATTTTTTGAACATAAAATAGCCTTTTGGGTGAATTCATGAGAGTGAGCAATATCCAATTTATCTCCAAATGTATCAGATGCTATGTTACCGTGGCTTAAAATATTGGGTGGTATTGCTATTAGTTCTTCTGGTAAATCGTATGCCCTATCAGTCAGGCCATTCCCTACGCTTAATAGCCACTTGCTAAATAAATCATCCACTGATCGTACATTTTTACTCAGTCGTAGGATCTTAAAGGTTTCCCACAGTGGATGGAATTTTATACTGGTTTCTATTATTTTGGTCCTGTTACCATGTCTGACAACCGGCAGAGTTTGCCTGAAATCCCCGCCCAATAACATAACTTTTCCACCGAAAGGATTCTGGTTGTTCATTATTTCTTTAAGTACTCTGTCAATAGCAGTCAAAGCGATTCCTGGTGCCATAGTTGCTTCATCCCAAATTATGATTTTAGCTAATCTGATGATTGTGGCTTCTGGAGAATTCAGTCTTATATTTGATACGGATGTTTCGTTTAAAGGAGGCACTAACTTGAATTGGTTAAAATACGTTTTACCTCCTTCCAATAAGTTTGCAGCAATTCCAGTGGATGCAATAGGCAATGCAATGTTTTTCTCTCCACGCACTGTACACAGAATAGTTTTATACAAATAGGTTTTCCCTGTGCCTCCTGGCCCGTCCAGAAAAAAACATGTTTCTGGGACTTCATCATTTATTGCTGCAATTATATTATCATAACATTGTCTTTGCTCAGAATTCAATTTATTTATCATTTCCTTGGTTTTTTCTTTCTCTAACTCATAATCATAGATATCAGTAATGTTGATTGGTAGGGCAATGTTTTCTGGCATCGGTAGATCGTATTTAAGGCAGGAACTATGGTTTGCTTCTAAAGTTTTGTTTATTTCTATTAGAGTCAAATTCCTACATCGTTCACAGTTATCTGTATGGCCTATTTTGTGGCTGTGTGAAAAATCTTCCCAAAGATGAGACTGGTATTTTTCAAATAATTCTTTAGCATTAGACGGGGAAGCAAATATAAGAATGTATGAGAATAAGTCCCTTAAATGTTGAGGCATGCTGAAATTGACTGCTTCGGCTAAAGTTTGATCCCAAATGTTATCATTTTTTATCAACCCTTTTTGCACTGCTGCTTCATAAAAAGTATTATATTTAGTATTATCAATGGTTTTTAAATCATCATAAGATGTTGCACCTGGTACATGAAGCAGTAGAAGTCTTAAACAATACCTTTCAGGATCAGAACCAAGATTTACATAATACATTCTACCAATTACATTATTTCTGTCTTGTTTTCTCTGAACCCATTTCCTACTTGTTTTATTGAAAACATAATGTTTAGGTATATTACTGTAATTAATGAATCTTGCATTTTCATCTTCAGCGTTTAACTTAAACCACGCTGTCAACATTGTATCTTTTTCAGCAGTTTGTAACAGAATATCTGTATTTCTGTTTAATGAATTTTCATGGAAGATAATGCTTTGATTTTCAGGAAGATGGACAGGCAATCTGATTATAGTGTGCGATTGTTTGTGCATGTCATTTCCT